TTGTAGTATTACAGGAGAAATATCTACACAGATGTGTCTTCTGTTATAGCACACGTTAGAGAAATGTGTACATGTCTTAAGAATTGTTTAATGAGCATATTCTTTCAACACTACACATGAATGGATACAATTTTATATCCCTTGAAGTGCTGTACCAGTGCTGGCTGGACATACTAAGTATTGAGTTTATTAACTAGATATTTATTTAGCATTCAGAGTAATTTGTGAATTTGTTTTATATTTATAAAATTTATACTTGGAAAATGTTAATGTTTTAAATATTTTACTGTTTTGTTTTATTTCTCTAATTTCCTCAATGTTCAAAAATTTTACCCTCCCTTTCCCTTGACAGTTCTTTCAGTTTTACAGAACTGTTTTACACGTTTCTATGTACAACTTTTTAAGTGTACAAATAAAATGACATTTTTTTCAAGTATTCTTAATTTCTGGAATTTTTACAAATCAAAATTAGGCTTCTGCATGTGACATGTACAAATCATTGAACACATATTGTACCTGAGTTTATAGCAGTAATTTGCATATTTTTTTGCCCAGATATTTATGGAGTAAGATAACTCTTATTAATCAGTAGCATTCTTCCAAATATTTCTTCCCTTCATTGAGGGAAGAAATGTTTGGAAGTTAAGAAGTGCATTAAGAATCCAAGTGAAGGAGCAATATCATTTGGCTTTCCATTAGAGAACAAAACACCTGATACATACAGTTTAAAGAAGAAAAGATTTTTTGGCTCATGGCTTCTGTGGCTGCAGTCCGTGGTCTGCTGCTCCAGGGCAGAAATATCCCAGCAGACAGGTGTGGCAAAGGAAACTGCTAGACTCTTAGCATCCTGAATCCTAGAGCAGGGCCAGAGCCAGAGAGGATGAAGCCAGAGACCAGATATAGTTCCCAGGTCACACTCCTGCGACACTCAGACAAATGCAGAAATATACTCTGCTAATTTTCCTCGGTATCTCTTAAGCCCATCAAGTTGACAATTAAGATGAACTAGTACAGTGTACTCTCTGTCAGTCTGATGCACCTTAAGCCTACTTGTAAGCCACACTTGTAAGCAAGACCTCAACAGTTCTCAGAAGTACAAGTTCAAGTTCTGAGACTTAAGGTAAACACTTAGCTGTGAGTTTCTGTAAAAATAAAAAGCCACATATAGTGGTGCACACCTGTAATCTCAATACTCAGGAAGCTGAGGCAGGAAGATCGCCATCAGTTCAAGGCCAGCCTGGGCTCCATAGTGAGCTTGCACTATATAGTTAGACCCTGTCTCAAAAGACAAAACAAAAAAGGCAATCTTACATCCAACTATCATAATTAGAGTGTAGATTCCAGTTTGGTTTATTTGTGGTACTAGAGATTGAACACAGGAAGGGCCTTCATGCTAAGCTACATCCCCAGTCCTTTTTAAAAGATTTTATTTTAGGGCTGGGGAGATAGATCAGCACTTGCCTGGCAAGTGTAGGGTCCTGATTTCAATCCCTGGTACTGAAAAGAAAATTTTTATTTTGGAACAGTTTTATTAAGTTGCCCAGCCTGGCAACTTAACTAATTTTCAACTTATTTTGAAAAAGAACCATGTGGGTCAGGAATCTAGCTCAGCAGTGTAGATTGAAAGGCAACTTTCAATCTTGCCTTAGCCTCCCAGAGAGTTGGGGTTCTAAGCATGCAGCATCATTCCCAGCTGCAATGTGGATGTCTTAAATAGACCAATTAGAAATTTTAAAAAAGATACTGGACATAATAACTATAGCTAATAAGGTTGTATTATAGTCTTGGAAGTTACCAACTAGATTTTAAATGTTCTTACTACAAAAAATGGAATTAGCTCAATTTAGCCATTCTACAGTGTATACATAGTACAGAATATCATGTTGTACATAATAAGTACACAGTTTGTCAGTTTAAAAAACCTAGAATTTTAAGGCCTAGCCTGACCAGGGATTCAAAGGTGAGGAGTCAGAGTACTGAGTAAATGGAGTGCAGAGGATTTTTAACAGTGAAACTATTCTATATGATACTGTAATTATGTTTACATGTCATTATACATTTGTTAAAAATTCAGAATACAAAAAAAAATTCAGAATACACAGAGTAAATCCTAATGTACACTGTGGACTATTTAATAATGACTTACCAATATTGGCATATTTATCATACTTAAAATTCAGAAACACTGATGCAAAATGTTATCAACAGAAATCTTAGAAGGGTGAAGAGAGTATTTGGAAACTCTGGATTTCCTGCTCAGTTTTTCCATAGATGTACAACTGTTCAGAAAACTTAATTTGAAAAAGAACCATGTGGGCCAGGGATCTAGCTCAGCAGTGTAGCATCTGCCTGGCAAGCTTGAGGTCCTGAATTCCATTCCCAGTACCAAAAAAAGCCACGTGTGGTGGTACGACATTCGGGAGGTTGAGTCAGGAGGATCACTGCAAGTTAGAGGCCAGCTTGGGCTACATAATTTAAAGCCAGCCTTGAATAAAAGCAAGATCCTGCTCAAAAAGCCCTACAGGAATGCTTTATTAATATCAGATAAAAATGGAGCAAAGGAAATTTCCAAAGACCAAAATGGATATTGTAATAAAATTTTCAGTCTCCCAAGAATGATAGTATGCATGCAAAAACTGAAAAAGCTAAGAAGACAAGTGTAGGGGCTGGCAAGATAGCTCAGTGGTCTAAATGTACCTGCTTAGGCAAGCTTCCCAGGCATCACATGCCATACCAGCCCTGCCCCCAGGGCAGGCTGAGCCAGCCACAAAAAAAATAAAAATAAAAACACAAGTATATAATTATAGGTGAGTATGCCAGCAAGCCTCTCTTTTAACAATAGAACAAGTAGGCAGAAAATAAAAGTACACAAAAAGTAAACAGTACCATCATCAGCCATTAGGATTCACAGGTTTGTAAAACACCACACTGAACATACACCAAGGTCAATCAGATCATGGCCATAAAATAAACTTCAACAAATGTAAATGAATAGCATGTGATCTGTGACCACAATGAAGTCAAGCTAGAAATCAATAGTAAAGACCAAAAAAAAAAAACAAAAAACAATCCAAATACTTGAGAACTTAAACTATTTGTGCCATTCTGGTGATACAGTAGCAGCCATACCCAGGCCAAACAGACCCCAGAGCTGAACTCAGGGCCATTTGCCCAAAATGAGCTGAATTCAGGCTATACATGCTGAAAAATGCAGAATGATGCTGCACTAAAGGGTGTAGACGTAGACTCGGTGGTCATAGAACACATCCACGTGGACAAAGCATTCTTACGGAATTCAGGGTCAGGTTAACCCATCCGTGCACTCCCTGCCGCACTGAGAGCTCTACTGAATTTGTTCCTAAAGGAGAGGAAGAAGTTACAACAGAAGAAAAGATATCCTGAAAGAAAGTAAAGAATCTTATGGAACAGGAATAAATTAAACATAAGATAAATGCAAATAAAAGGAAAACAAATTCAAGCCATATCATCTTGCTCTGATAATCTTACATTATTTCAGTTCAGTTTTTTTTCTTTTCTCTAACAAGATCAAAGTCTCAAAGTAGTAAAACAAAGTACTACATTTGTTTTATTGGGAGGCACAGCAGTTGCTGTCTCTTGGGGAAATAGTGCTGAGGGCTGCACCAGTCTAGACCATTAAGTGGACAAACCAATCAGACTCTCTTGATCGTGCAACAGGAGGCAAGAGACCAGTATCCATTCATTAGTTAGGAGCCCGTGGCCTCACCAGGAACAATGTGGCCACATCTGGGAAAATCAGAGAGGGCTGTGGAGCCGTGCTCATGTGTTAGAAATTGGAACATCCGGGGACTTCCGGTTTGTGTTACCTAGTCTGCGCGGCCTGAGCCTGTGTGGATATGGCTGTGTGGATATGCCCGCTCCCGGCAGACCAAGACAGGTTTATTTGTATCTACCCCGCTTATTTAAATAATAAGAAAACCATCGCAGAGGGGAGGCGGATCCCAATAAGTAAGGCTGTTGAAAATCCTACAGCTACCGAGATTCAAGATGTATGCTCAGCAGTTGGACTTAATGCAGTTATCGAGAAAAATAAGATGTACTCTAGGGAATGGAATCGTGATGTTCAACACAGAGGCAGAGTTCGAGTCCAGCTGAAGCAGGAAGATGGCAGCCTCTGCCTGGGGCAGTTCCCATCACGTAAGTCAGTAATGTTGTATGCAGCAGAAATGATACCTAAGCTAAAAACCAGAACACAGAAAACAGGAGGTGGTGACCCAAATCTTCAGCAAGGAGAGGGAAGTAAAAAAGGAAAAGGGAAGAAGAAGAAGTGATGGGCTGTGAGGATCAAGGGGCGACCCCTCTACCGGGACACGGTGGAGGCATCTTCGTCACTTTTCATTTGCATCAGTCACCTGAACTACACATTTGCGTGCCATCTTCATCATCAGAGTTGACCGTAAAATGAGTACATCACAGTAGATCGCCGTGGAAATTTGCATCTAGCTTTTAAAGAAAAATATTTCTTTTGATGAAGAGTTTTTGTGGAAAAGTATTTTTAAACGGACAGTGGACTTCCAGAAGTTATTGGAAATCAATCTGTCCTCTGTGTAGGCATGTATGTCAGATACGTAAGGTTAGTACGATTTCAAATACACATTTTGTTCACCTTTTAAGTTAAATAAAATTTTAAACTACAAAAAAAAAAAAAAGAAAAAAAGAAATTGTAACATCCAAGACCCAGCTTGAGCATTTTCTAAGCAGAGCTAAAAACATCTGCTACACCCTCACCCACTCCCCAAACTCAGAAGCTTAGTCTCTGTGTTACTTTGAAAATAGAAATTCCAAAGACAGAGTCTTCTTTTTTGGCAGTGGATATATATATATATGATGGTAAAGGACTTACCTACCATGATGAGGCCCTGAGTTTGATCCCCACCCAGTACTGCAATTAAAATACAAACAAAAAGCTGGGCATGATGGCACATGCCTGGAAACTCAGCACTCAGGAGGCTGAGGCAGGAGGATTGCAGCAAGTTCAAAGCCAACCTGGGATACATAAGCAAGATCAAGGTCAACATGCACTACATAGTGAAACACTGTCTCAAAAAGACCAAACCAAACCAGCAAAAAGATTAATATTAAACCTTAAGGTGACTCTAATATCTGAGTAATTTTTTCAAAGCACTTTAAAGACACAAAAATAACAGTTCTGCATAGCAAGTAGTTCCATCCAAAGAACTTAATAAATATGCATATTCTCACAGCTGACAGGCACTACACAGCTTCTCAAACTTCAAAAGGCGCGTGGAGACGTCCTCCTCCTGCTCCCGGCTGATTTTTCTGCAGCATTGCTTTTCATCACAAAGAGGAAAACCCCTTGGCTGGATTTAAAGCCCCAAGGGTTCAATCCCTGGTTTGCAGTGTGGGCCCCGTGCCAGCCCCACTCCTGGGGCGCCCTGAGACAGCAACTGAGACTGGGCATGGTGGCGCGTGCCTGTAATCCTAGCACTTGGGAGGCTGAAAACAGGAGGATAACTACGAGTCTGATCTAAGTAATGAGACGCTGTACACCCTGCAGACGCTATCCTAAATTCATTTAAAAAATAAAAAATAAAAGTAAAACCCCCGAGATAGTTCCAATGGTTTCCGACAGGTGTCGCTGTGTTTCCTTAATTTGGTAATTATCTAGTCTTAAGGATTTGCTGTGGCACCACAGACGCCCAAGGCAGTTTGGGAGATGATTTACAGGTTTTATGTGACCTGCCCCTGACTCCTTGCCTCTTCTGCCACATCTTGTCCTTTTCCACTCCGCTGTAGCTCCACTGACCCTGTATTTTTCCAAAAGAGCCAACCTTCCTTTAAACTCAGCCTTTGACTCTTCACCTGTTTTCACTCTTCACCTGAAAGTCCCTACGCCCCCACTCTGCCTCTATGTAGAGACTTTCTCTCTCTGAGCCAGCGACCACGTGAGTTTTGCTCACCATCTTACACTCGAGTACAACACAGTGCCTGACACATAGTGGGAACTCAAAACTTTAAAAAAAAAAAATTTCTAGGCATGGTGGCACATGAAGCGCTTGGAAGGGTGTGGCAGGAGGAAGAAAAGTTTCTGGCCATCCTAGTAGGATTACAAAATGACACAGGCAATTTGGAAAGCAGAGTGGCAGCTCTCAAAATGTTAATGTTACTGTATGGCCCATAGATTTGTCTCAAAAACACATATACACACCAAGTTTCAATTGACATATTAAGAAATTAATTTTAAGGAATTAATCCAGGTGGGAAACAAGAAAAATTCCTTTCTTGTTAACAGTTCAATTCATTAGTAAGCAATTATGAATCTATAGTTTCTAACAATTTTTAAAAATTTAGTACAGGGTCTATAGGGTCTCACTACACAGATCGGACTCGTAGTGATCCTCCTGTCTCAGCCTCCCAAGCACTGAGATTACAAGCCCGCACCCACCACCACGCCCAGTTTATGATTGGTTGTTTTGAGACAAGGTCTCACTATGTAGTTCAGGTTGACTTTGTTTTTTTTTGTTTTTGGTGGGCTTTTTGTTTGTTTTTGAGTAACCAGAGATTGAACTCAGGCCCTTGCGCTTTCCAGGCCAGTGCTTATTCTACTGAACTATCTCCCCAGCCCCTTGACTTTGAACTCACTATGTAGCCCAGGCTGGCCTCAAACTCATGACAATCCTCCTGCCTCATCTTTGCAAGTGCTAGGATTATAGATGTGCATGACCATAGAATATGATTTTACCATACCTATAATAAATGATATTTTAAAAACAAACTGAAGGAAAGAAGTCTTTTCAACAAATAGTGTTGGAACAACTAGATAGTCCCATGTAAAAGCATAAAGTGGGGTAACTACTTCACCACATCAAAACATTAATTCAAAATAGATCATATTGCCTGGGCATGGCAGCGCATGTAGCCCCAGCCCTGGAAAGGCTGGGGCAGAAGGACCACTGTGAGTTTGAGGCCAGCCTGAACTGCATTGCAAGACCCTGAAACAAAAGGCAAATGAGTTTAAAGCCAGGCTGTACTACACAGTAAGACCTTGTCTCAAAAAAGAAAAGTGCAAATAAAAAACTTGTGCTTCAAAAGACACTATTAAATCAAAATATATCATGTATGAGTACAAATTCCCTATGATAAATATGATCATTATGTATATCTTAAATGTACTGATAATATAAACAAGGACACTTAAGAAAAAAGCCCACAAAATGTGAGAATTTTTCTGCAAATCATATATGTGATAAGGGACTTGTGTAGAATATGTATAAAGAACTATAAAGTATATATATATATATATATATATATATATATATATTCAAGAGTTTTTTAAATGTATTTTAGTACAGGGACTACAGGGTCTCACTACCTAGATCGGACTTACAGTGATTCTCCTGTTTTTAGCCTTCCAAGTGCTGGGACTACAGGAGTGCACCACCACACCCAATCTCAACTGTCATCTCAGTGCGCCCTGGGGGTGGGGCTGCCATGGTACGCCAGGATCAAACCCTGGTCCCTGCACCTGTGTAAGCAGGCGCTTTATCTGCTGAGCTATCTGGCCCGCCGAGTTGGTGGTGGTGGTGGTGGTGGTGGTGGTGGTTTTATTGAGACAGAGTGTGGCTATGCAGCTGAGGCAGGCCTTGAGCTCATTCTATAGCCCAAGATGGCCTCAAACTCACAATAATCCTCCTGCTTCAGCCTCCCAAGTGATGGGATTACAGGTGTGCACCACCATGCCTGGCCTAAAATTAAACTTTTTTTAAAAATTTTACTGTATTTGGTTGTTACAGGGTTTCACTATGCAGCTTGGACTTCTAGTGATCCTCCTTTCAGCCTCCCTAATGCCGGGATTATAGGCATGTGCCACCATGTCCAGACTGTGGCTGGCTCAGCCTGCCTTGGGGGCGGGACTGGCCAGGGATCGAACCTGTGGTTCCTGCACTTGCTTAATCTTGCCTAAGCAGGCACTTTAGTCTGCTGAGCTATTCACCAACCCCAAAATTAAACATTTTTAAAAGGACTGGTGATGTAGCTCAGTGTAAAGGTCCTGGGTTTAGCCCTCAACCACCACCAAAAAACAAAACACGATGAGAAACCATTTCACAGCCACTGTGAATGGCTAAAATAAAAACACAATAATAAGTGTTGGTAGGGATATGAAGAAATTAGAATCATTATGAGCAGGAGGCTAGGTATGATGATGCATGCTTATAATCCCAGCACTCAAGAGCCTGAAGCAGGAGGACTGCTGCAAGTTTGAAGCCAGCCTGGGCTACAAAACTGAGTTCAAAGGCAACTGGAACTTCA